CTTTTGGAGTTTAACCAATATTTTATTATTGCCCCCCCCCCCCGCTTTTACCCATCTTATATACCCTAACCATCTCTTCTTGACCTCCACAATCTTATCCTCACCTAACTTTTCCTGTTTTAATATCAGTAATATGTCCGACTGTATCCATTCATATAAGCAATCATTCCATCTGTCTGTACTCTATTTTGTAGCATCTTTCCAGCCAAACGCTATAATTGCATGGGCAGCTAAAATCATAGCTTTAAATAAATCCTGATATGGTTTTTCTATTTTACAGTTCCCTAAAATCCCCATGAATAATACTTTCCCTGATAACTCCACTTTAACCTTACATACTTCCTCCACCTTTTCCAATATCTTTTGCCAAAAATTAACCACCTTAGAACACCCCCACCAAAGATGTACATAATAACCCTTTTCTTTTTTACAATGCCAACAATCAGATGTCAATCCCTTGACCATATAAGATAGCTTAGTATATAAGATAGATATTTAAGTATACTAGGGAAGATTAGGGCACTTAAAATGTTTATAATACCAAAGTTTATGTATTTGTTTCAGGTACTACCAGAATGGGTATCTAAGAAGCAGTTAGAAGAGTGGGATAAGGTATTAAAAATTGGGTTTTTGGAAAGAAACAAGCTAGAATACCAAGGAAAGTGATATATTCATCAAAGGAACATCTAGGCTGGGGTATGCCACAACTGGAAGGATATTATGAAGCTTTCCAAATAAAAATGATGTTGGAAATGGATAGTAAAAGTAAGGATAAATGGGTCCGATGGGAAGACTGTATAAACGGAGGAAAAATCAGGTTTGGAATATTTACACAAAGACTAAAAAAAGAGATCAAGAATACAATAGGCACAGGATGGACAGCATTAAAAATATGGGGGGGGGGACAGACTATGTGGATGCCCCCTCTTTCAAAGTGGGCCCCACTTGAATCACTAAATGAGGAATTTAAAAATTTTGAGGTAACTTTTTGGGAAGAGCTACAGGTAAAGGACCTATGGAAAGTGAAAGATATGTATAATGCTCAAGGGAATTTAATTCAGATGCAAGAAGCAATGGGAAGAGTGGGAGGACAATATTGGTTAAGGATTATTGGTTTATATAATATTTTGAAACAAAGGAAGTATTCTGGAATATTAAATGAGGAGGACACCTGGATGGAAGAATTGTATGCAATTAAAGAAGATAATAAAAAGGGTATTGTAAGAAAGATATATAGCAAATTGGTTGAAGATAAAATTTATATGACTGGCATAATACAGTCAAAATGGGAGAAAGATGTAAAGTTATCAGAAAATGAGATAAATAAAATAATGAAAGGTATTAGTGATATAAAAATGGAAAAATCTAGAGAAATTGAGATGAAATTAATATTGAAATGAAACCCGGAAGAAATAACTCTGTGTGTTCTGAAAGACAAGCAGGATAAAAGAAAACTCTCTAGTTACGTTTCTGACCTATGAATATGCAGCTTCAAGCATATATAATCCGCTTCCCCTAAAAAACAAAATGATGGGTTCTGCTCTCTAGCTCCCCATCTTTTCCAAAAGCATCTGTTCAGCTGGCAAAGGTGTTCAAACCCCACCCCCTCCAGTACAGATGGAGTGGAGTAAAACAGAGGCTTGTTGCTCAAGCTGGCAGAAGTGATTAACTTGCAGCAGCTGAGAACTTGTCCTCTACAGTGGTTGACGGCTTGCAATTCAGAGACCTCACCTGGAAACAGTTTCCTATTGGCTCAATGGCTTGTCTTTCTGCACTCTCAGCCCCACCTGGGGGGAAAATTGCCCCACAAGCCACGAAATCCTGGGTATGGGCCCGCCCACACGTGCCCCACATCACAACGCTGCCTTCGTTTACATCTTTTCTCCCCTGCAGAGCGTCCCCGAAGTCGACCCAGCGGCCAACATGCACAACTCCCAATCCCAGCCGAGGGTGAGCGCCAGCCCCTACCCGTCGCCTTCCCCGACCGCCTACTCACCCCCGCAGGTGCCGCCCCTGAACGTGAGCAGCCCCATCACTGCAAATACCGAACAGGTATCGCAGGTCGGGGGGGGGGGGAGACCTTGGGAGAGGATTTTTCCCTCCCTTTAAACTGCACATGAGAGTTCAGAAGCAAACCTCCTTTGGGCAAAAAACAAATCGGCGCTCCCTCCCGACAGATCGCCCGGCTGCGCAGCGAACTGGACGTCGTTCGTGGGAACACAAAAGTTATGTCGGAGATGCTGACGGAAATGGTGCCCGGTCAGGAGGACCCTTCAGACCTTGAGTTACTGCAGGTGAGTAAATGGGACTGGATCTTCACGTCGGCTTCGGTTTAGCAAAGGAAGCGGTCCTGAACAGGCGTACTCAGAATCCTGCTCAGGTCTGTTTGGTGGGCAACAGGGATGCCGGCCTCTTGGTGGGACCTGGGGATCCCCTAGAGTTCAAGGCCATCTCCAGACTGCAGAGATTGGTTCCCCTGGAGAAAATGGATGATTTGGACCCATTTTAGTTTACAAGGGTCTGGGGTTGAGTGGTAAAGCACCTGCTTGGCATGCAGAAGGTCCCAGATTCAATCCCCTGCATCTCCAATTAAAAAGGACCGGGCAGTAGGTGATGGGAAAGACCTCCGCCTGAGACCTTGGAGAGCTGCAAAGAGGGGCTGTGGCTCAGTGGAAGAGCATCTGCTTGGTATGCAGAAGTTCCCAGGTTCAATCCCCGGCATCTCCAGGTAAAAGGACCAGGCAGGAGGTGATGGGAAAGACCTTTCTCCACCTGAGACCCTGGAGAGCTGCTGCCAGTCTGAGTAGACAAGACTGACTTTGATGGACCGAGGGTCTGATTCCGTATGAGGCCACTTCATGTGGACGGCGAACCCTACGTACCCCTCTGAGGTCTCTGCTCTCCCCAGGCTCCACTCCCAAATCTCCAGGAGGACCTGGCAACCCCAGTGGGTGGCCTTGAGACAGCTCCACACTCTCAGCCTGACCTGCCTTATGGGAGTTTCTAGTGAGGACAGAATGGAGCTGGGGAGGGAACGTCGGAAGCCACTTTGAGTCCCCATTGTGGGGGAAAGGGGGGTATAAATAAAGTAAATGAATTCTGCTCTTCCCTGGCTGACTTTGCAGGGGGAGTCTCTATTTGTCCGTTTCGTTTTCACCCTGCCTTTTCTCCCCAGCAGGGACCCAAAGTGGCTGACATCCCTTCCCATCCTTTTTATTCTCACCACAGCCCTGTGAGGTAGGCTTGGCTGACAAGTGTGCGACCGGCCCGAGTTTTCACGGCAGAGTGGGGATTCGAACCTGGGTCTCCCAGGTCCGGGTCTGGCACACTAACCACTGCACCACACCAGCTCTTTTTTCCTTTTCTCTGGGTGAGTAGGGGGCTGAATTATTCTAAGGCGTCGCCCCCTACCCACAGCCTGAAGCGATACAGCCCAGAAAATGCATCTTTATCAGGTTTGCTAACTCAGTGAATCCCAGTGTCCTTGTGGGTTGAGCCTCGAAGAGGAGGAGGAGGAGGAGGAGATTGGATTTATACCCCGCCCTTCACTCGGAGTCTCAGAGCAGCTTACAGACTCCTTTCCCTTCCCCAGAACCAGACCCCCTGTGCGGTAGGTGGGGTTGAGAGAGCTCTTGACAGAAACTGCCCTTGAGAGAACAGCTCTGACAGAACTGTGGTTTGCCCAAAGTCATCCAGCAGCTGCGAGTGGAGGCGTGGGGAATCAGACCTGGTTCTCCCAGATTAGAGTCCGCGCACTTCACCAAGGCACCAAACTAAGCCCAGGTTGTGGGGCTGTGACCCATTTCTACAACTGATCCTAACAGAGGCAGCATCTGGTTACAGCCGCATCTGCCCCTCCCCAGTCCGGGTTTCTTTCCCCCGCAACACGTTTTGTACACCTCTCACGGCAAAGGCCCCTCCCAAGCATTCCAGTCTCCAAAACAACACGGTGAACTTTGGCAAATCAATCAGGTCTGCATCCGTCTCTCATTAGGCGCGGCGTCTTCTGTACCGCAAAGGTCTTGCTCCTAACGCACCTCTTTTTGCGGTTGCATCTGTGTGTGGGGAGAAAACGCAGGTGGAAAGAGTGCTGGTTGTTCTGCGCTTGCCCTGACGCTCCCATTCCCCAGAATGATGCCTGCTGTCCCTGGCACTTGGCCTTTGGTCTCCCTCCGTGTCGCTTCCCATCCCCAGGGGCTTCAACAGCGAGGCCTCTCTTCTGACGCTGATGGCGGTTCCCTCCGATAACAGCAGGCGGGGGCGAGCCACCCTAACCCCTGGAATCCTCTGGAGGCACATTTTTGTCAGGGCTACGGCCCTGCAGCTGTGTGTTAGGATACGCAATCCCAGTTTCTCTTCTGATGCTCTTAATGCATGTGGCGTTCTGCTGGAGTCAGTTTTGCTTTTCAGGGGTTCCCCCCCGAAGAAGATCTGCAGTTGATTTCATTGTTTCTGAGGCGGCTGATCTTTTTTTGAAGGGGGAATGCGGTGTCTCATGCACTCAGATGCCTTGTTTGTGTGGATTTATGGCATTCTCTCAGGCTAGCCCGATCTTATCAGATCTCTGAGTCCGCGCACTTAACCACTATGCCAAACTGGCTCTCACACCAAACTGTGGCTGAGGAACTCCCTGCAAAGCCCTGATGGTGTTGACTTAGGTCGTTAATTCTTTTCGCGTGAGTGTGCCGCATTGCCCGTAAGCATCCCATTATTTCGTTTCCCCCCCCAGGAGCTGAACCGGACGTGTCGAGCCATGCAGCAAAGGATCGTGGAACTCATCTCCCGGGTGTCCAACGAAGAAGTCACGGAAGAGCTCCTGCACGTGAACGACGACCTGAACAATGTCTTCCTCCGATATGAGAGGTGGCCTGTCCCGTTCCCTCTCCGAGTTCTTAATGCCCTGTTGCCTCAGAGTTAAAAAGCATGCAACGGGATCTCCATCACTGGGAGGTTGAAATGTGCCTTTGCAAGTGGCTTTTGGGGTTTTGCTGGTTTGATCGATGTGGGGCCGTGGCCCGGTGGTAGAGCATCTGGTTGGCATGCAGAAGGTCCCAGGTTCAATCCCCGGCATCTCCAGTTAAAGGGACCAGGCAGGAGGTGATGGGAAAGACCTCCACCTGAGACCCCGGAGAGCTGCAAAGAGGGGCTGTGGCTCAGTGGAAGCGCCTCTGCTTGGCATGCAGAAGGTCCCAGGCTCAATCCTCGGCATCTCCAGTTAAAGGGACCAGGCAGGAGGTGATGGGAAACACCCTCCGCCTGAGACCCTGGAGAGCTGCAAAGAGTGGCAGAGCCTCTGCTTGGTATGTTCTTATGGCTGTGGCTCAGGGGAAGAGCCTCTGCTTGGCACGCAGAAGGTCCCAGGTTCAATCCCCAGTAGCATCCCCACTTAAAAGGACCAGGCAGGAGGTGATGGGAAAGACCTCAGCCTGGAGAGCTGCAAAGAGGGGCTGTGGCTCAATGGCAGAGCCTCTGCTTGGTAAGCAGAAGGTCCCAGGTTCAATCCCCGGCATCTCCAGTTAAAAGGACCAGGCAGTAGGTGATGGGAGAGACCTCAGCCTGAGACACTGGAGATTTGTTGACAGTTGGAGTAGATGATCCTGACCTCAGTAGACCTATAGTCAAACACAGGGAAAGGCAGCTTCATGTGGATAGAGACCATGGCTCAGTAGCAGAACATCTGCTTTTCATACACAGAGTCCCAGGTTCGATCCCTAGCATCTCCTGATAAAATGATCTGGTAACAGGTGATGTGAAAGCACTCTGCCTGCTACCCCGGAGATTCACAGCCCGTCAGAGTAGACAAGACCATCCTTGATAGACAAATGGTCTGAATACGTATATATGGAAGGCAGGGTCTGTGTCCAGGTTTCTGTCTCCCTGTCTTGCTCATCCTCGGATCTATAGTTCTCCTCTCCTCTCCTCCCTTTAAGTCTCCCAACAGCCTTGTGACGTAGGTTAGGTAGTGACAGGTAAAGTATCCCAAAATCACCCAGTGAGTGTCCTGTGTAAGTGGGTCTGAACCGAGCTCTCCAGCACAGCCACATCAAATTTCCTCTTTGCAATGCATTAATGTTTGAGAGCCAGTTTGGTGCCGTGGTCAGGAGTGCGGACTCTGATCTGGGAGAACCGGGTTTGATTCCCCACTCCTCCACATGCAGCTGCTGATGTGACCTCGGGTCAGTCACAAGTTCTCTCAGAGCTGTTCTCTCAAGGGCAGTCCTCGAGAGAGCTCTCTCAGGTTTACCTTGCCTCACAGGGTGTGTGTTGTTGGGAGGGGAAGGGAAAGGAGTTCGTAAGCCGCTCTGAGACTCCTTTGGGTAGTGAAGGGTGGGGTATAAATCCAATCTTCTCCTCCATGTGCAGCTGCTGGGTGACCTTGGGTTAGTCACAGTTCTCTCAGAGCTCTCTCAGCCTCACCTAACTCACAGGATGTCTGTCGTGGGGAGAGGAAGGGAAGGTGATTGCATACCGCTCTGAGACACCTTTGGGTTACGAAAGGTGGGATAAACACAGAGGTTGCACGTCACTTTCCTTCAACAGTGCCGCAAGCCCCGAGGCTAATTCACTCGAACAGGCAGATTCCCCCACTGAGGGAGTTTTTCTACAGCATTTCTGGTTTTTTAACCTCTCCTCTTCTTCTCATTCTGCCACGCAGGTTTGAGCGGTACCGGCTGGGCCGGTCGACGCAGAACGCCAGCAACGGGGTAAGTCAGGCTGTTCAGTCGGGGGCACGATTTCTCTGCCGCTGAATGCTTTATCCCAAGAAGGTTGTCTGGCACACCTCTCCGCGGTGCCATCTGTGGGGCTAAACAGGGCGCCCTCGCGTGCCACTCGTTTTGAGGCGGAGCCCGCATTTGAAAAGCATGGCCCCGCGGGATGCCTAACTTCCTGTTCTTCTGACCCAATGGCCCCGCAGGTTCTCAACGAAGTAACCGAGGACAACTTGATAGACCTGGGGCCCGGTTCTCCCGCTGTGGTCAGCCCCATGGTTGGAAACAGCGCTCCCCCGGCGTCGACCCTTTCTACCCAGCTTGCTGGGCTCGGTGAGTGTTGTGCCTCGTTCTGTTTCCTTTTCAAGGGCAAGAGATAGGGAAAACGGGATTAGCCATGAGGTGCGGCCACTTCAGAAGCTCTGTCAGAGGGCCAGGGCTAGTGGAGATAGGCAGCGTTTTTGAAGAGCCGTTGTACGATGTGAATCCCGGAGGACTTGTCTGTGCAGACCTGTTAAGAGAACATCAGAATATCAGAAGAGCCCTGCTGGGTCAGACCAGTGAGAGTCCATCTAGCCCAGCATCTCATCTCACACAGTGGCTGACCAGTTCCCCTGGAGGGCCAACATCAGGGCAGAGAGGTTAAGGCCTTCATAAGAACATCAGAAGAGCCCTGCTGGTTCAGACCAGGGGTCCATCTAGTCCAGCATCCCATCTCACACAGTGGCCAACCAGTTCCTCTGGAGGGCCAACAACAGGGCACAGAGTCCGAGGCCTTCATAAGAACATCAGAAGAGCCCTGCTGGATCAGACCAGTGGTCCATCTAGTACAACATCGCAAACCATAGTTCTCTCAGAGCTGTTCGCTCATGGACAGTTCGGGAAAGAGCTCTCTCAGCCCCACCTACCTCTCAGGGTGTCTGTTGTGGGGAGGGGAAGGGAAAGGAGTTTGTAAGCCGCTCTGAGACTCCCAAGTGAAGGGCGGGGTATAAATCCAATCTCCTCCTCCTCCTCCATGCAACAGGATCTCCATCACTGGGAGGTTGAAATGTGCCTTTGCAAGAGGCTTTTTGGGTTTTGCTGGTTTGATCGAGGTGGGGCCGTGGCCCGGTGGTAGAGCATCTGCTTGGCATGCAGAAGGTCCAAGGTTCAATCCCCGGCATCTCCAGGTATAAAGGACGAGGCAGGAGGTGATGGGAAAGACCTCCACCTGAGACCCTGGAGAGTTGTCAAGAAGGGCTGTGGCTCAGTGGAAGAACCTTTTCTTGGCACGCAGAAAGTCCCAGGTTCAGTCCCCGGCATCTCCAGTTAAAAAGGACCAGGCAGGAGATGATGGGAAAGACCTCAGCCTGAGACCCTGAAAAGCTGTTGAGAGGGGCTGTGGCTCAGTGGAAGAGCCTCTGCTTGGCATGCAGAAGGTCCAAGGTTCAATCCCCGGCATCTCCAGTTATAAAGGACCAGGCAGGAGGTGATGGGAAAGACCTCCGCTTGAGACCCTGGAGAGCTGTAAAGAGGGACCGTGGCTCAGTGGAAGAGCTTCTGCTTGGCACGCAGAAAGTCCCAGGTTCAATCCCCGGCATCTCCAGTTAAAAAGGACCAGGCAGGAGGTGATGGGAAAGACCTCTCTGCCAGAGACCCTGGAGAGCTGTAAAGAGGAGCTGTGGCTCAGTGGCAGAGCCTCTGCTTGGCATGTGTTTATGCCAGGCCAACTTTTGCATAAGGCTACAGTGTAACAGCCAGTCAGGTCTTTGTGTTCCCGTTGGGAAGAAAAGAAACAGTGGATCAGGGTGTCCAGCTCTTGACTTGGTGGCGAAGAGCGAGTTTTGGAAACGAGCCCGCCTTCGCCAGAGATGCAGAGGAGGCGTTCCTTTGTCGGCCTGACCTCCCCCGTCCCCTTTTGTCCCGTCCCTCTGCAGATTTGGGCGCCGGCAACGTGAGCGGGACGCTCAGCTCCCTCCAGCCCTCCAACCCCCGCGACGACTTCGACATGTTCGCACAGACGCGAGGCGGGCCGTCGGCCGATCAGCGCAAGGCGTATGTAGGGGCCGGGGGAGGGGAGGGGTCTTCTTTGGCCTCCCAAGGAATTGTACAGACCAGAAATTGCCCTGTGGGTCACAAGGTAAAAATCCTGCAGTGGTTATGGGCTGTGCACGCACAGGAAAGCTCATGCCTTGAATGAACCTTTGGTGGTCTTAAAGGTGCCACTGGAATCGCGGTTTGTTCTGCTTACCAGCAATGCAGCATGCGATAGTTTTTCCCCTGCAGACTGCGGTTTTTCTACACAAAGACCATCTTGCCTGGGTCAGCCTCTTATGTCGAAAGAGGTTGTTATTTACGGCTGTCGCCACTCTTTAGGCAGCTGAACACAGACGGACGGGAGACTCTCTGGGGGGAAAGCAGATAAGAGCCCCCGGAGTCTCCCTGTTGCTTTGGCAGGAGGGACAGGTGCTAGAATTCGGTCCTTGGGCTCCATCTTGTGGCTGAATCAGTGGGCACGTTTTCACATCAGACTCCTTGTCCTCGGCATCCTGGCAACTTACGGGTTCCGAGGAGACATAAGAAGATCAGCAGAGCCCTGCTGGATCAGACCAGTGAGGGTCCATCTAGTCCGGCATCCCATCTCACACAGTGGCCAACCAGTTCCTCTGGAGGGCTAGCAACAGGGCAGAGACGCCGAGGCCTTCCCCTGATAAGAACCTCAGAAGAGCCCTGCTGAATCAGACCAGTGAGGGTCCATCTAGTCCGGCATCCCATCTCACACAGTGGCCAACCAGTTCCTCTGGAGGGCTAGCAACAGGGCAGAGACGCCGAGGCCTTCCCCTGATAAGAACCTCAGAAGAGCCCTGCTGAATCAGACCAGTGAGGGTCCATCTAGTCCGGCATCCCATCTCACACAGTGGCCAACCAGTTCCTCTGGAGGGCTAGCAACAGGGCAGAGACGCCGAGGCCTTCCCCTGATAAGAACCTCAGAAGAGCCCTGCTGAATCAGACCAGTGAGGGTCCATCTAGTCCGGCATCCCATCTCACACAGTGGCCAACCAGTTCCTCTGGAGGGCTAGCAACAGGGCAGAGACGCCGAGGCCTTCCCCTGATAAGAACCTCAGAAGAGCCCTGCTGAATCAGACCAGTGAGGGTCCATCTAGTCCGGCATCCCATCTCACACAGTGGCCAACCAGTTCCTCTGGAGGGCTAGCAACAGGGCAGAGACGCCGAGGCCTTCCCCTGATAAGAACCTCAGAAGAGCCCTGCTGAATCAGACCAGTGAGGGTCCATCTAGTCCGGCATCCCATCTCACACAGTGGCCAACCAGTTCCTCTGGAGGGCTAGCAACAGGGCAGAGACGCCGAGGCCTTCCCCTGATAAGAACCTCAGAAGAGCCCTGCTGAATCAGACCAGTGAGGGTCCATCTAGTCCGGCATCCCATCTCACACAGTGGCCAACCAGTTCCTCTGGAGGGCTAGCAACAGGGCAGAGACGCCGAGGCCTTCCCCTGATAAGAACCTCAGAAGAGCCCTGCTGAATCAGACCAGTGAGGGTCCATCTAGTCCGGCATCCCATCTCACACAGTGGCCAACCAGTTCCTCTGGAGGGCTAGCAACAGGGCAGAGACGCCGAGGCCTTCCCCTGATAAGAACCTCAGAAGAGCCCTGCTGAATCAGACCAGGGAGGGTCCATTTATTTATTTAATTATTTATTTGATTTATGCCCCGCCCTCCCCATTGAAGCAGGCTCAGGACTGCTGGCATAAAAAGTTAAAGCGACACAAAACAGAACATTTGTAAAAGCCGATCATAAAGTGCTGGTAACGGTATCACTAATTGCATAGCAGTGGCAGAGCATAGTGACAGATCTGTCCTAATGGGAATACAGAAGACCCCTGTAAGAAGAGCTCTGTGGGCTCTCGGAGGATTGGCTACATTGGGGGGGAGGTGTCACCTAATATGCAAAGGAGTTCCTGCTACAAAAGGAGCCCTGAGTAAATATAAACACAGGCATCAGAAGGGCTATCCATATGGAACGCAAGAACAGTGACATAGCTTTGCCTTGAAAAGTTTTTTGGGCGGTGGGGTGGGGGGATCAAATGGAAAACCGGTTTAAGAACAGGTAGGTTTCTTGAACGGGCAGTTGGTACAGCGACATTTGGAGTACCGTGTACAGTTCTGGTCACCACATCTCAAAAAGGATATTATAGCACTGGGGAAAGTGCAGAAAAGGGCAACCGGAATGATAAAAGGGTTGAAACGCCTTCCCTATGAGGAAAGATTAAAACGCTTGGGGCTCTTTGGCTTGGAGAAACGACGGCTGAGGGGTGACAGGATCGAGGTTTACAAGATGATGCATGGGATAGAGCAGGTTGAGAAAGAAGTTCTTTTCTCCCTTTCCCACAATACAAGAAGTCCTTGTCGGCACTCCATAAAATATCTGAGCGGTCAGGTTAAAATGGATAAAAGGAAGTCCTTCTTCACCCAAAGAGTGATTAAGACATGGAATTCACTGCCACAGGAGGTGGTGGCGGCTACAAACATGGACGGCTTCAAGAGGGAATTGAATAAGCATATGGAGCAGAAGTCCATCAGTGGCTATTAGCCACAAGGTATAGACAGGAACTCTCAGTCTGGGACAAGGGATGCTCTATATTCTTGGTGCTTGAGGGGGGGGCAATAATGGGAGAGCTTCTAATGTCTTGGACTGCTGGACCTCCTGATGGTACCTGGTTTTTTTGGCCACTGTGTGACAAAAGAGTGCTGGACTGGATGGGCCATTGTCCTGTTCCACCATTGGCTTGTCTTATGTTCCTATGTTCATATCTGGGCCACAGCTGGAGGGGAAAAGGTTCAGAAAAAAAAAGCAATAGGCGAGTTGTAATTAGCATGGAAGGAGACCACCCAAAGAAACCCCACGGCTCCGTGACTTTTGAGGATTTCGGTCCAGCCACATAACGAAGGGCCGCATTGGAATACTCGCATTTATTGATTCATCTTTAATTCATTTATACCCCAAATCAGCGTGCATCATTCTCCCGTCTTCTATTACTTCCTCATCCAAAGAGTGATGAACGCATGGAATCCACGGCCACAGGAGGTGGCGGCGGCTACAAGCATGGACGGCTTCAAGAGGGGATTGGATAAATGTATGGAGCAGAGGTCCATCAGTGGCTATTAGCCACAAGGGATAGATGGAGCACTCTGTCTGGGGGCAGTGATGCTCCGTATTCTTGGTGCTTCGGGGGGGGGGCAACAGTGGGAGGGCTTCTGGAGTTCTGGCCCCGCTGGTGGACCTCCTGGTGGCACCTGGTATTTTTGGCCACTGTGTGACAGAGTGTTGGACTGGATGGGCCATTGGCCTGACCCAACACTGGCTTCTCTTATGTTCTGATGTCTGGGGAAGTGATATTCTGTATTCTTGGTGCTTGGGGGGCACCAGTGGGAGGGCTTCTGGAGTTCTGGCCCCACAGGTGGACCTTCTGATGGCCCCTGGGTTTTGGCCACTGTGTGACGCAGATGGTTGGAATGGAAGGGCCATTGGCCTGATCCAACATGGTGTCTCTTACGTTCTTATGTCTGGGGCAGTGATGCTCTGTATCCTTGGTGCTTGGGGGGCCACAGTGGGAGGGCTTCTGGAGTTCTGGCCCCACTGGTGTACCTCCTGATGGCACCTGGGTTTTGGCCACTGTGTGACACAGAGTGCTGGACTGGATGGGCCACTGGCCTGATCCAACATGGCTTCTCTTATGTTCTGATGTTTGGGGAAGTGATGTTCTGTATTCTTGGTGCTTGGGGGGCCACAGTGGGAGGGCTTCTGGAGTTCTGGCCCCATTGGTGGACCTCCTGATAGCAACTGGGTTTTGGCCACTGGGCGACACAGAGTGCTGGACTGGATGGGCCACTGGACTGATCCAACATGGCTTCTCTTATGTTCTTATGTCTGGGGCAGTGATGCGCTATCTTCTTGGTGCTTGGGGGGGGGGAGCAACAGTGGGAGGGCTTCTGGGGTTCTGGCCCCACTGCTGGACCTCCTGATGGCACCTGGTATTTTTGGCCACTGTGTGAGAGAGTGTTAGACTGGATGGGCCACTGGCCTAACCCAACGTTGGCTTCTCTTATGTTCTTATGTTTTGTCTTCCCAAAAACCTGTGAAGGTTTTAGTTCTGGTTTTTTTAAAACAAAGCAGAAACCTACACAGCTTTGACTTATTTTATTTTACAAATTTACACTTCGCCTTTCTGCCCTCATAAGGACTAGCAATGCAGGTAGTCAATTAAAACATACGTAAAACGGCTCTGGGATTCAGAGGCTTAGTGCCTCTTAATGTGGAGGTTCCTCTCAGTCACCACAGTTAGTACCCACTGATAGACCTCTCCTCCATGAATCTATCTTATCCTCTTTTAAAGCTGTTTATTCCTGTGGCCATCACTACATCCTCTGGCAGCGAATTCCACATTTTAATCACTCACTGTGTAAAGTAGTCTTTCCTTTTGTCCATCCTGAACGTACTGCCCATCTGCTTCATTGGATGCCCTCAAGTTCTAATATTTTGGGCTTTCCTCACTGCCTGGCTCATCACCATGCCCATCTCTTTTTATCCCCCAGCACGACCTACGAAGACCCGCAGGCTGTTCGAGGGCTGGCGTCCGCCCTGGACGTTCGGAAACAGACCACAGGAGGGGTAGGTCGCTTCTCTGCCTTTTCACGTTGCACGCGGAGCCCTTCCATTTCTGATCTCCTCCCGGAGCCTTGAATGCAAGTGCCCCGTGCTCTCTGCTCACGGGTTCTGGGACTTCGGTGCCCCATATGGAGTTTGCAAGGAAAGCTCTGTTTACCACATCTTTGCAGCAGACACCACTAGATGGGGTTTTAGGTCAAAAGTGCAGTGAAAGGCATTGAGCTTGAAGTCTGTCTAAGGCTACCAGCTACCTAGATCGCTGGGAAAGCTATGATATCAGCTCTCTGATTACTCACTCTTCTCACAAACCAAGTGCAACTCTTATTCCCTTATATCCAGATGAAGGAGTCTTTAATTGCCTTCCCTCAATATTTGGCTGGCCTGTTTGTTTTTGTCTTTGTCTAGTAGGGGAAAGAGGGGGTTGAGGGGTGTGCAGGGGAGAGATGGGTTGGCGTTCTGGGCCAGAAAAGAAACAAGTGGGAGGAAACTGGGAAGGATAACTGCTGGGGTACACATTCCTGGCTAGGCCCCCCACCCTTCGGGCCCGGGTACTGGCTGGCACTCTCCTATCAGTGCGGCTGTTATCAGCTGAACGTGTTGTCATCTCAAAGGCCTCGTATGAGTTAAGCCCGCCGCTCAAAGTACTCGGAGACGAGTTTCTTTCTTTTGACTTTGCCCACCTGCTGTGGTGTTGAAAGTTTTTGTTTGCTCGCCCTTTGGCCCTTTCTCGAAGGCGCTGCCGATCTACCCAGAGTAGCCTCTTATTATCAATCGATGCAAAACTTTATTCTGAGTATACGACACCACGTGTGTTTCTGCCCATAAAGAATTCTGGCCGTCGGCACTTCTTGGACGGGGTTAAGTATACACGAGGGGTTAAATGACACTCTGGTTTAGATACTGAATGTGAAGAGGAGCCGGTCTCCGGTTTTTGCAGAAGTCATGCACAACATAATTAGGAGTGTCAGATCTACACACAGCCTGGCAACTGGCAGGACAGGGGGGCAGGAACATGGTGTGGGGGGATGCTGTCACCTGTACACTCCTGAACCTGTGCTTTTGATAGGCGGAGGTTCAGGAGTTTATAGAACGGATCCTGTGCAAGTTAGAGATATCAAAGTCACGGGGCACCTCCCCCAGGTGCTCCTCTACAAGCCCTCCGAGTTCCGCTCCCCCTGTTGCTCTGAAGTTGTGTAAACATTTAGATTGAGCATAGATGGTCCATCTGGAGATGTGTCCCTTCACGAACCTCCATGAACAGATGGAAAGTTCGTGCCACTTGACGTGCCACTAGCTTAACTTCGCGAACCACAAAGCGGCCAAAATTCGTCACAAACTTTTAGTTCGTGAGCCAGTTCGTGCCCATCCCTGTTTAAGATGTCTCACTTCGTCTTTAACATCTCAGGGTACCTTTATTTTGTCTTTTGAATGTTTATATGAAAGCCCTAACAGGCCCTGCCTGAGGGTACCTCGGGAAACGTTTCCTCCCATCCGAGCTTCTCATGTTTAGAACGTTTCAGGAAGCCCTGGGATGGATGCAGAGGCCGCTGGAAGCACAGGCCGAGAAAAGGAGGAGCAGGGCTTTCCCAGTGGTGGCCCCTGTCCTCTGAAACCCTCTTTCCAACGAAGCAGACAAAGCATAAGGGGGGGGGGGAAGCATTTGGTTTCTTTTTTGGGAAAAAAAATACTGCTGGCACGTAGGTTGTGTTTTGTTTGGGTGCATAGTTGTGACATTGTAGGTTTTATGCTTATTGAACCATTTTTTGTATTGTAATGTAAGCCACTGGGGGGGGGCTTAACACCAGGTCTAGAGACGGGCAATGTTCCCTCTAAGCTGTGGAGTCTTGTGAGCAGAAATTCTACTTTGTGAGCGACTGGCATTACAGTTGTGAGCGGGCGATTTGGCTCCTGCATAAATTAGTCTGCTCTGGAGCCCTCCTCCCTGAGTTAAGACAAAAATGTGTGAGCCGGAGGCTAAAAACCTGTGAGCTAGCTCACACTAACTCAGCTTAGAGGGAACACTGGAGACGGGGTGAACATTTATTAGTAATAATAATAGATATTCGTTTTCACCTGAGAACCACTTCACAAGGTACTTTTTGATTGATTGAAAGGGGAAGCTGCCTTTGGTGCATGGTGGGGTACACCTCTGGCCCTCCGGGGGAGGAATTGGGAGACTGCTGCTTGCTATTTCTCACTATCTAGGTGAGGTGGGTGAAAAGTGGATGGGGCAGCCCATAAGTCCACAAAAATGTTTGCTGTCCATGAACCCTGAAGAGACTGAAGTACATATTTTCTTGCAACTGTACCCCGAATCCCCTGCTTGGTCGCCCATGGGCCGTTTTTACTCACCGCAGGCGAGCAGGCTAGTGGCTATTTACAAGTCTGAGCTGGTGGCGGTGGGGAACAGAATGCAGGATGCCGGTGGTAAGCGTGTTATCTCGATGAACCATGGAATTGTCTCCTCATTGATGCCTCTGCGGCTTTCTTTCTTCTTTCTTTCTTTCCGTCTTTTTTTTCCTGTAATGGGAACTTTCTGTCCTCGACCGCAGAGGAGAGGTAAAGTTGGCAGTTCAGACTTGGAGCCCATAGACAAATGGCTAATAACCCAAGGAATGGTGAGGAGGATTTCGTCGGTCAAGTGACCCCCCCCTCCGTTCATCCTCACCCTGTCTCCCCGAAATAGCATAACTGCCCTCCGTTTAATCTGTCACTCGCCCTGTTGAACAAACCACAGACTGGACAGTACAAGGAAGTGGGTTCCCCATCTTTGGTGGGGGGATAGTTGGCAGAAATATAATACCTTTGGCACAGGGGTTAGGGGCGTGCTGGAAGGAAGGGAGGCATACGTTATCCGTTGCCTTTCCATGTCGGTTTTTCAAACAAAGATGGGCCTATCCAGTTCCTTTTACTGTCTGAATTCCCCCCTCTGCCCCTTAATATGTGCAGTATCCGTTTTCCCCCCAGGGTAAACACAAGGTTTGCTTCTTAAATCACTGGGGAGGTGTGTTCGCAGGGCCCTTTTTCTCAGCAGGCTTAATAACCCAGGCCATGACCCTTCGACAGAACCCGGGTCAAAGGCTCCAGTCCTTGGCCCCGTCACTGTATGTCTTCAAATGAAAGATTACTCTGGGGGGCACAGGAAAGAGAGACGAGATGCCGTTAACTGAGACGGGCTCGTTTTCCTAGTCCTTTACAAGCACCTTAAATTTATTTGAATATTTATACCCTGCCTAAAACGACGTCCAGCGTTGTTTGCCTCTCCTCGACTTTATCCTCACAATGGCCCTGTGAGGCAGGATAGGCTGAGAGAGTGAGAGAGAGAGAGACACCCAAGGCCACCCAGCCAGCTTCCAGGGTAGAGTGGGGACTCAAACCGACGGTCTCCCGGATCATAGTCCAACACTACCGTAGAGATGTAAAATTTCTGGAAATTTTTAAGCTCGGAAAAAACCCGGGGTTTTTTCGGGGGGAAACGGAAATTTTTGGAAAAATTGAAAAAAATGCTACATTAACATTTCTTTTGTCTTTTGTAGATTGAAATATGACTATGGACATTTTTACTTGGCATGAAATTATCACAACTAGCATATTAAAAATATAGTGTATCCAAACAATTATTACCAACAGAATACCCACCCACGTGCAAAAACAAAATTGAAACTTTTTTATTTTCTTCTGACAATCGCACCTCCTAAAGGAAGAAATGCATCTTGTTCTTGCATTGGAGAGTTCAGTTTGTAACCTAGGACTTGCTTGTCCTCAGTGCACAGAAATTAGATCAATCTGATACCATATATATATATATATTAGAAATGATTTGGAAAATATTTGAACACCTTGTCTTAAAATATTTTATTCATCATGTTAAAATAAAATGTTCCATAATATTTTTTTTCTTTTCTTTTTTCAATTTTTCCAATTTTTCAGAAAAAAACAAAGCTTCAGGAAAAAACCCATTTTTTTCCCTGAATTTTTTCGTTTTTTTTCCGGGCCTTCACATCTCTACGTACCGTGCTATCCGGATGCTAAGAAGTGGGAGGCGAACATGTAGAACGGAGCCACAGTGTAAAAGAGAAGCCTCTGTCGGGGTGCAAGTGTACCCCGATATCGATTTCACCGTTTTCACTAAAAGAGACTAGAAACTTAAAGTTGTTCCCCCCCCTTTTCCTCCTTGAGGGAGGACTGTTAATCTCTGCCAGGCTACAATTCTCTGGGTTCTTGGTGTAGGGCTGGGGTTGGTGGGGCATGAAAGCGATTAACATTTATAGTGTAGATACACACCTTGGATTAAACTCTGTTGCTAGGTATTTAGTTAAGGGTCTCTTATCAGGCAGAACCAACCACCTGTAAGTTGAAAGAGAGAGACTGGCTCACCCCAGAGTCACGCCCAAACTGAGTTTTGAACTCGGCTCTCTGTAAGGATGCCTTGTTGAGGAAAAACAGTAAAGAACCGGCACCCTAGGAAAACCAGGCCTCCTCCTTGTTTGTGTGTAGCGATTGTAGAATAAGTGGGGGTGTCGCTGCTTGGCCATCTGTATAAGTCAAGTGGGCTAGTAGGTGAGGATTGGGGGGCACCCCGAGCTCAGAAGCGAGGCTCGGGGGTCATTCCCAAAGGCTCTGCTGTTTCTCGGGTCCCAGAATTGGGACGGTTCCCCTCGAGCGCTGTTCCCAAGGGGCTAAGAAGTCCAAAACATGCTTCTTACCTTGGCCCACCACTATTAAAAATGACACTCTCTTCCCCGAATCTTCTCTTCCCCGAATCTTCTCTTTCCCGAATTTGCTGTCAGCTTGTGTTTGTTCAGCCTGGAAAAGGGATACTGCTGTCTTTGTGGAGGAAATAGCGACTGTAAGGGGGGGACCGCCAATTCCCTCCCCCTTACAGGCTGCTCAGCCTTGTTCGTTTTAATATGAAAATGTTCGGCGTCCCCTAGAATCCAACTAATCCGTAACCTACTTTCAGTCCGGACTAGCCGTAGCTCTTAACCCTGTCCATTAATAGAACTGACACGCCGAAGCAATCGCAAGCGACGCAGTTCAAAGTGGCTGGGGTGGAGTTGCCGATTGGTATCCCGGGAGGGTACAGCATGGAGCCCCTCGCCCCGCGGAACTTTCCTGTATCAGCATCTAGCTAAAGGAGGGTTCCAGCGAATGTCTTTTAAAGACCAGAACCGTCACGTGAAATTTCTTCTCCCGGGAGCCAGGCTTGGCCAAACGTTAGGGGTGTTGTCTTTCTGATTCTGGTGCCGGTCCATGCCACCGCAATACCCCCAGAATTCTTGTCCACACCGGTTGGGTCCCATATGACATCGGAGGCATCTCCATTGTGGCCTAAATGCGAGTTTAATGACACAATAGAGAGCGGTTCGCATCATTTGAATGATGAAGCTGCTCTGGAACTCCACAGCATCCTGTTAGACCAGGGGCGGCCAAACTTGCTTAACATAAGAGCCACATAGAAAAAAAGTCAGATGCTTGAGAGCTGCGAGACGTGAACAGATGCCACATACACATTTTCATTGAAAAATATGGAAATTTGCTTTTTTTTAAAGTGAGACTGCCAAAAATAAAAACAAAAGGTAAAAGCAGATATTGCAAATGATATTTCTTTATCCACCTGGGAAGTCAGGAGCCTTGGGTAAGGTAGATACCGTTCTTCCTGGAGAGGTCCCCGCAGTTATTCTATTAACGAATACAGCATCCTCATTGTCCTTAAAAATAGGTGACGGTTTTTTAGAGCCAAGTTTCTGATAAGCCACTAGTAAACCAGTAGTAAGTCAGTAGTAAGTCAGTTGTAGGCCAGTAGTAAGTCAATCGTAGGGTTGTCACTCAGGTCAGCCAAATACTGTCAGTTTGGCTACTCATTCCAGTTTGGTGTAGTGGTTAAGTGAGCAGACTCTAATCTGGGAGAACCGGGTTTGATTTCCCACTCCTCCACTTGCACCTGCTGGATGACCTTGGGCAAGCCATAGTTCTGGCACAGCTGTTCTTGAAAAAGAGCAGTTTCTGTCAGAGCTCTCTCAGCCTCACCTACCTCACGGGGTGTCTGTTGTGGGGAGGGGAAGGGAAAGGAGTTTGTAAGCCGTTCTGAGACTCCGAGTGAAGGGTGGGGTATAAATCCAATCTCTTGACTGTGGTCAAATCCATGAAGCTAAGGTGGCAGTTTTCGCATTATCTTTAATTGTGTTAAAGATCTGTTAGGAAGGCCTGCCTGCTCTCCAGCCCTGCAAACAGTCTAGGGTAAGCCTAGCACCCTAGCAGAACTTTCCATATGGACAGCTTGCTCTGCCTGCAGCCGTCTCCACACGGCTCTGGCGGCAGCAGCAAATGCTTATGATTTTCCTCCCACCATGTAAATTCTTAACAGTAAGACACATGAAACTGCCTCATACTGAATCAGACCCTGGGTCCATCAAGGTCAGTATTGTCTGCTCTAGCTGGCACCAGGTCTCCAGGGTCTCAGGTGGGGGTCTTTCCCATCCCCTCCTGCCTGGTCCTTTTTAACTGGAGATGCTGGGGATTGAACCTGGGACCTTCTCCATGCCAAGCAGAGGCTCTGCCACTGAGCCACAGCCCCTCTTTATAGCTCTCCAGGGTCTCGGGTAGTCTTTCCCATCACCTCCTGCCTGGTCCTTTTTAACTGGAGATTCCAGGGATTGAACCTAGGACCTTCTGCATGCCCAGCAGATGCTCTATCACTGAGCCACAGCCCCTCTTTACAGCTCTCCAGGGTCTCAGGAGGAGGTCCTTCCCCTCACCTCCTGCTTGGTCCTTTTTAACTGGAGATGCCGGTGATTGAACCAGGGACCTCCTGCATGCCAAGCAGATGCTCTACCAGTGAGCCACGCCCCCTCTTTACAGCTCTCCAGGGTCTCAGGCCGAGGTCTTTCCCATCACCTCCTGCCTGATCCTTTTTAACTGGAGATGCCGGGGACTGAACCTGGGACCTTCTGCATGCCAAGCAGATGCTTTTCCACTGAGCTATGGCCACTCTCTACAGTTCTCCAGGGTCTCAGGCAAAGGTCTTTCCCATCACCTATTACCTTATCCGTTTAACTGGAGATGCCGGGGATTAAACCCGCATACCAAACAGAAGCTCTTACACTGAGCCACGACCCCCCTCCTTAAAACAAAACTGCAGAGTACTTCCAGACTCACCTGAAGCAGCGTTAACATTCTTCAAAGCCCGTTGGCTTGAGTGGACTTGGGAGAGTTTGACTCTGCTTCAGACAGACCTGTAGGAGTTGTGAAAACAACGGAACAAATGGATTTTCGGCGTTCTTTTATAGTTCGTGTAAGGGTTAATCCTGTGGAGGGGTTCCCACTGTTCGAACACGCCCGCAGGGTCCCACGTGCACCTTGTCTAAAAAAAAAAAATCAAAGCGGGTTTAATTTTTTCAGAAGCGTCAGTTTGTATTTATATGTAAATTTATACAGATTTTAATAACTAAAGCTTGTACAGTTTAATTGGCTCGCTTTCCCCCCCTAATTGGACGACAGCCCTCTTAATTTAAACCTTGCTCGTTGAGGCTGATCTCGGAGACATCCCATTCCCCCCCCAAAAAAAAAATCCAGACCAACTTTTGTAGACAGTAGCAAACCTTCTGCGAACCGATGTAGGCCTTCATACGCTGCGTATTGAGGAGACGCAATAAGAGATGGAAAATGTAGTGTTATCCGGTGCATTTGAGCCATGCCAGGCTTTTTTTCATGAGCAAGGAGCCTGAAGACTCGGTACCCACCAAGACCTTATCCGGTGCTCACCAAGTGTTTTCAGAAAGTGGGTGGAGCCAGGTGGGGCTCTATCCCAGGAGAGCTTCTGATAGCATAGGCCATCGGAGATTTGAAGGGCTGTGCAGATGAAAATAACATTGCTTTGGAGGCAGCTCCCGCCAGCTTGGGTTTTATTCCTCCTCCCACTCCTCTTTCCTGGGCAGTTTTTTTCCCCTCCCCTGCACTTGGGACTTCCTCCGGGTGTGTGCACGGCCCCAACTTCTTTGGCAGCCATTTTGTAATTGCGCCCACCACCCTGGGTCAGAATTCCAACAGTGCCCCTGCAGGGTCTGTAAGGTGGTGGCTCCCTAGCCCATGCCGTTCTTGTTAACAAGCTCAGAAAAGCAACCGGCGTGTGTATTTCAACCGGGATTTTTTTGGTGGCATTCTGGTGGCCTGAAAGAAAAAAACCCGTGTCTTGCTTCTGTCCACTCTTTGTCTGCCCCCCCCGGGTAATAATGGTGGGGGGGGTTTGTTTTATTTAGTTAGTTAGTTTGATTTGTGCCCCGCCCTCCCCGCCGGAGCAGGCTCAGGGCGGCTTAACACAAAATTGCAACAAGTAAATAACAGCTAAAAACATCAGCATAAATATCCTCATAAAACACAACATAATCACTAGAACTAGTTTATTTGACGATGGTGGTGTACAGTAGCAGTAAACATATAGATTACAGTCAGCAAATGATTTTTTTCTACTGTCAGGCTCCGGCTGGATGGTGGTATTGGGCACAGGGTTTTAAGATTATTTTGATCAGCAAAACAGAACCAGGGGTAGAAGGGTTGCACACGCAACCTTCCCCTATGCATCCCGGACCCCGTGCAAATCAGGATTCCATGTGACTCAGGGCTCTTTTTGTAAGCAGGAACTCCTTTGCATATTAGGCGACACACCCCTAATGTAGCCAGTCCTCCCAGAGCTTACAGTAGCCCCTGTAAGAAGAGCTCTGTAAGCTCTTGGAGGATTGGCTACATTAGGGGTGTGTCGCCTAATATACAAAGGAGTTCCTGCTACAAAAAGAGCCGGCCCCTCTTACCATTTTAAAAACTGCTAGGAGGGGTCAGCGAGCATTTCCAAACGGGTGCATCCCCAAATAATCCTTGACAAAGTGAGTTGCTCAAAACACGTACTTGTCAGATTTTCTTTCTGTAATCTTTTTTTTTCTTCAATTCAGTGGCATTTCATTTTGTACCCACCAATTTTTTGGGGGGTGCTGTTTACACATGCAGCTTGCGTTCCTGATCTTTCACTGCAATTGTCTTAACACCTGCAGTACGTTCCCTTTATTTGCTGTGTCCCCCTTTAGGATTTTAACCTCCCCAGATCCAATATTCCAGCCTTAAGAGAAATTCAGGCGGGGCAGGTTGGACTCATTTGGTTCTTATTGATGGGGGATGTACCCAGGTGACCGTCCCCCCCCCTGGCGCTTGCGTCTGGCCGTTTCGCTCATCTGACCCATTTTTTTTCATTTTGCTTCCTTAAGCTGTGGTTTTTTTCTTGCTTCACGTTGCTTCGTTTGTGTATTCTGTTGCAATTCATTTTCTTTTTTTTGTAAAAGTGCACTTTACATTGTATATGTGTGTTTCCCCCCCCTTCCTTTATTTCTCGCTCCCCCCCTCATTCTTTGGCCACGATTGTGGATGTGTTTTCGGTTTTGCCTGCCCGCCTCCCTTGCCGCGCTCCGTAGATTCCAGTTGCGCAGTCCTCTGTCATGGATGACATAGAGGAATGGCTCAGTACAGACGTGGTAAGACTCTCTTGTTTTTGTTTCGTTTTTCACTTTGTACGTTTTCCAGAATAAGAGTCGGGACGTGTGGCCCCTCCCCTCAATGCAAAACAGATAAAGTGTGTAAGGTCAGCTTCTAGATGGCACAGAGCTCTTTGGGCAGAACAGAAACCAGCGGAAACTTAAAACGGAGGCTCCGTCTGAGGCTCCTTCTGCAAGATCTGGTTCGGGCCTGCGGGAGAATAAACTTGGGAGAATCCCCGAAGCAGCGCAGAGGATCGGGGAGCCTGTCGGTTGAGCATTTGCACTCTCCTGCCGGGTTCCCAGATCCACGCCGATGCCAGTCCATCCAGTCAGTTTGTAGGACTCTGCCAGTCTTTAAGATGGAGCAGAGGGAGGGAAGGCCCAGTCTCGGAAGTCACACAGGGTCGGTACTTGGACGGGAGGCCGCCAAAGAAGACGCTGCAGAGGGGAGGCCATGGCAAACCACCCCCGCTCCTCACTTGCCACTTATTTATTTATTCCGTTGTCGAAGGCTTTCAAGGCCAGAGCTATTTACAACAGCTGTTTATTTATTTATTTAATTTGTTTGCACCCCGGCTTCCTCCCCAGTGGGGACCCAGAGTGGTTTACAATCCCTCTCTTCTCCTCCGGTTTATCCTCACGGCCAGTGCTCCCTCTAAGCCGTGGAGTCCAGAGTCGCTATGTTGAGGCCGGCCAGTGCAAACCACCTCTCAACGTCTCTGACCTTAAAAACCCTGTGGGGTTGCCAGCAATGCTCCCTCTAAGCCAGTGATGGCGAACCTTTTGGAGACCGAGTGCCCAAACTGCAACCCAAAACCCACTTATTTATCGCAAAGTGCCAACACAGCAATTGAGCCTGAATACTGAGGTTTTACTTTAGAAAAAACAACTCATACATTAACTTAAGATGATCCAAACAAAGTAAGGAAAGCAATCCCAAATGCTTCCATTTACTTAAAATTATTTGGCAGAGAATTCGACACTTTAATGATGGTCTGGGCCTGGCTGGGGCGATGGCACGCGTGTCCACAGAGAGGGCCCTGAGTGCCGCCTCTGGCACCCGTGCCATAGGTTCGCCACCACTGCTCTAAGCTGTAGAGTCTTGTGAGCAAAAATCCTACTTTGTGAGCTGCTGGCATTCAAGTTGTGAGCGAGCAATTTGGCTGCTGCATAAATCAGTTTGCTCTGGAACCCTCCTTCCCGCGCTAAGAGCAAAAATGTGTGAGCCGGGGGCTAAAAAACTGTGAGCCGGCTCACACTAACTCAGCTTAGAGGGAACACTGCTCACAACAACCCGGTGAAGTAGATTAGGGCAGAGAGGGGGTGACTGGCCCGAGGTCACCTAAGCGAGCTTCCATGGCCCGAGAGAGGGTTCGAACACGGGTCTCCCGGATACTAGCCCGACACTCTTGACCACGGCACCACCCTGCCTCGAAAGCCCCTTGCTAGGGTTGCCAAAAGCCGGTTGCAACCGGATGGCGCATACTTTACGTAAGATGGAGTGGGGACTGGAGGGAGAGGGAGAGAACCAAGTCTTCTCATTTTTGCAAAGGTTTTGCTGCCCGGACAAGAGCCTTCCTTACCGCGGGCAACCAAGCGAGCGGCTGTTTGCAAGCTGCCATTGCCTACCGGCCCTCACCAGTAAATGAACTCAGCACTCAGAAAGGCCTACTGGAAAAGGGTCCGGTTTCCCAACCAGAGCCCGATCCTTGTCCTCCATTCTGTCAATTGCTTCCGGTGTTCTCCATCAGGGGTTTTGCTGTTTTCAAGAAAGCAGGTAGACGGCAGTGCCCTTTTTAAACAGTATAGGAGAATAGTCCTTGCGAGTGTAGGGGGGAAATGTTTAAGCCCAGCCCCCACTCCCTGGCAGTTCCGCAGGGCCTGTAAGACGGAGCTCTTCCACCAGGCGTATGACGGCAGTGCCCTTTTTAAACAGTATAAGAGAATAGTCCTTGTAAATAATGTTTTTGTACTGTTGGGATTTTAAATGGTTTTAAATATGTTTTATATTGGCGTTTGCCTCCATGTAAGCTGCCCTGAGCCCGCATTGCGGGGAGGGCGGGGTATAAATTGAATAAAATAAATGAATAATAAACAAAATCATTTTATATTTAACAGGCGGGGACTTTTTAGTGCAGGGGAGTGTTCAAAAATGTGACCCTCCCCCCCCCACTGCAGACTTGAAGAGGTCCACCATTTCAAAATACCATGTTCACAGTAACATGCAACATTTATGTAGCACTTCTGGGGTTCTCATAACTTTCAGTCATCCTTAAAAAACAGCCCTGTGAGGTAGGCCGTTGTTATGACCCTGCCCACTTTGCAGGCCGGAGAAAAGAGGTGTGCATAAGGCTTGGCAGAGGCAAGATTTGAACTGACAATCTTTACTTGAGTATGGCTCAGTGGTTAAAGTGCCCTGTCCTCGGTGGCCCAGGCTAGCCTTATCCTGTCGGATCGTGGAAGCTAAGCAGGGTCAGCCCTGGCTAGTGTTTGGAAGGGCGACCTCCAAGGAATACCAGGGCCGTGACGCAGAGGCGCAGGCAGTGGCAAACCACCTCTGAACATCCCTTGCCTTAAAAACAAGTCTGGCTTGCCACCTAGTGGTGCATAATGCTGAAAGAGCTAGAACTTCTGGCTGCCAGACAACCTTAGGATCTCCTGGCTATACTCCATCCAAAGCCTTTTATTGGCATATAAATAAAAATAAAAAAAAAAATACAGTAATCTGAATACACACAGAGTCAAATTAAAATTGCCGAGTAACATCACAGAGTATCGCCATACAGAAAAACCTAATTCATCATATCATTTATCAGGCCGTAGGGCCATGGCACTGCAAAGAAACTTTGCTGTTATTTCAGTTATTTCTGTGTCTGTGTTATCGAGCAAGAAAAGAAGCTTAAAATCATCAGGGGACTCTAAAAAATGGCCTAATATGGGATATAGAAGATCCCGACGGGACACCAAATAGAGAGGGCACTGGAAGAGAACATGGGCAACAGTTTCAACACAATCCTTCCTACAAGGACAGCACCTGCTAGGATAGGGAATCCCTTGGAATCTGCCAGATAAAATAGCTGAAGGAAGAACATTAAATCTAGCCAAGGATATGGCTCTACGCAAATTAGGAGCTATGAGTTGGTAGAGGTATACTGCTGGAAGATTTGCATTAGGAATAATCCCCAGATGTAAGGGAGAACAGGTTCTGTTCCTGGCTATACTACACGCACTAAGGACAAAGAAGAAAAAAGGGGGGAAAGACTGAACCTAAACCTAGAATTCAGAACCTAAAAAGGTTAGTCAAGAATAGAAGAGGGCCAACTCTAAAAATCTAATTATGAAACATACAAAAAATATACATGTATTTATTCAACATAAATGAAAATAACAAACAAGGGCCCATTCCTACCTCATATGCAAATATAAAAACATACAAGGGCTAATAAGATAGACCTAACGCGTTTCGGCCTTTACAGGCCTTCCTCAGAGGTATTAGATTTTTAGAGTTGGCCCTCTTCTATTCTTGACTAACCTTTTTAGGTTCTGTATACATACTGCCACATGATAATTATTATTAATTCATTATTATTAGCCCTTGAATTGGGGAGGGCAAAGGAGGTAGCTTTGGAAAACAAGTGGCGGAGGTCCCCTTACCTGTGGCCGCGCAGCAGTAGAACTTTCGAGACCAGCAAGACAAGCTTTCATGAGTCAGAGTTCTGACCAAGGGAGCTTCGACTCTCGAAAACTCTCATCTGACCTGGGCAAGGGGGCAGAGAGTGCGGAAGGATGGTACCCGTATGCCACTGGGGTTGGGTTCTTCCAGGCACCGCTCTGCATTTTGCCCAAGAGTACCTTTTTCCTCCAGAACCAAGAACCATTTAAAAAGGGGGGGGCCTCTAATATGCAATTGCAAAGGGGGTAGCGGGGTTAGTCTGCCATAGCAAAACGAAACAAAAGTCCAGCGGCCCCTTAACAGGATTGCCAATCTCCAAGTGGTTCCTGGCATTCTCCTAGAATAACAGCTGATCTTTAGACTACAAAGATCACTCCCCCCAGAAGAAATAGTTTCAGAGGTCAGCGGCGGAACAGCTCGTGACCAGTAGAGACCAACGAGGCAAGCTTTCGAGTTCGTCCAAGAGCTCGCGAAGGACGCTTTGACGCTCGAAAGCTCATATCTCGAAAATCTTGTTGGCCCCCACCTGAAGGAAATCTCCTCTGACCTTCCTCCCCTCCCCAGACTCCCCCCTTCTGCAAGCTCCACCCCCAAATCTCCCGGAATTTTCCAAGCTGGACCTGGCAGCCCCCCTCCTCAAAGACTAAACAGTGTTTATTATATGAACTTTCGTGAATCACAGGGGGTTGCCAGATCTGGGCTGAGAAATTCCTGGAGATTTCGGGGTGCAGCCAAGGGGGGGGGTTAGGGGCAGGGAGGGACCTCAGTGGGGTGTATTGCTATAGAGCAGGAGTGGCCACATAGAATAGACATCAGATGTTTGAGAGCTGCAAGCAGGGGTCATTTCGTAGAAGAAGAGGTGCAGGAGCTCATTATCATAATTCATTAGCATAACTTATTTGCATATGCCACACCCCCTGACATCACCAGAAGTGTGTCAGAAGGCAACACCCACCACTCAGGCTCCACTGGACTGTTTTGGATTGCTAGCTGTGGGGGGCGGGGAACGTGCAGATCCTTGTGCTCCCCGTGGCCCGGGCTGCTGGGAGCAGAGGGCGGGGCTTGTTGCATGTGCCCGCCCCCTGGGCTCTTTACTGCCGGAGCTCCGCTCCTGTGCGCTCCTGCAGAAAATGACCCCTGGCTGCAAGACATGAACAAATATTACACACACGTTTTAATTTTTTAAATATGCGCAAATTTGCTTTTTTTATTAACATTACATGAGACTGCCAAAAACAGAAGCAAAAGGGGGTAAATACAGATACTGATGAAGGTATTTATTTTTCCAGTGATATTTATTTGTTTGCTAATGATATTTATTTGTCAGAGAGAGAAAAAGAAAGAAAGAATGAAAGAGGTGGAAAGAAAGAGAGAGCGAGAGAGAGAAACCAAGAAAGCAGATAGATGGGAAGGAGGGAGAAAGAAAAAGTATGCTTCCCCTTCGCCTCCCCAGCTACCCTTCCAGGAGCCGCACATTATGTGTGAAAGAGCCGCATGTGGCTCCCGAGACGCAGTTTGGCCACCCCTCCAAAGCAGCCATTTTTTCCAGGGGAACTGATCTGTATAATCCGAAGATCAGTTGTAATTCTGGGAGGTCTCTAGCCACCACCCGGAGGTTTGGCAACGTCCGCAGGCAGACCATTTCATCCGATAAATCACACTGGAAACTCTTAGGCCCGGTGGGGGGTGGGGATGTCAGCTCGTATTGAAATAAATGAGTTTCGAAGATGCCCTCGGACTATAGTTTTATCCTGAAACTCCGAGGTAGGAGCTAGCCGTGCGTGGCACTGAAGTCCCTCAAATCCCGGAGCATTTTGTACTACTGTTTTTAAAGAAAGGTTTCCTTTTAAAAAATTCGTGGCAGGCCGTGAGCTTCCATGAGTCACTGCTCGAAAGCTCCTCCCCTGCCACAAATTTTGTTAGTCTTTAAGGCACTACCGGACTCCTGCTTTTTTTTTGCTGCTACAGGCAGACCAGCGTGGCTTACCCATCTTGATCTATCTCCTTTTTAAAAACTCACCGAGATATTCAGCACTTATTTTAAAAACTATAATGCGGGGAGAATACCTGAATTTTTCAGAGAAGGGACCCGAACCAATGCCCGAGCCAGTGCTGGTTTGCTAGTCTTCCTGCCCCTGTTGTGTCTGCCGACTCCCTATCACTGGCCAACTTCCAGCATTATTCCCAGTGTAGCGTGTGGATTGCCCTCCCCTAAGAGACTTGGCACAGGCGGTTCTCTCGTTTAGCCGGTTGCATTGTCGCGAATAGTCTTCTTGGCGACCTGAAAGGAGGCTCACGGAACGTGCACTAACCTATCTCTCTCCACCCTTCCCCGCCCCCTTTCCATGCTAATTATAGAAAGGAGATGAACTGGAGGAAGGAGTGACGAGCGAAGGTAATTTCGAGAGTGTCGGGGGTCCCAAACCAAGTCCCGATTTCCCCACACTCCAGGTGCTTGCTGCACAGGTGAAGGCGGGTGCCGCCGGAGCGTAGAATGTGGTATCGGGCCAGGGAGTTCAGCTTCTTGGGAGTCTTGGCGTCTGTTAAAAAGGCATACCAAACCGACTTCCTAGTCCTTATGACTGTGAAGTTCTGCGAGGCCTGCTAATGTTTCAGAAGCTGAGGGATTGGGGGGGGGGATTTAAATAAGGGAATGCGCAGAGTTGGAGAGGATGTTAAAAACATGCCTTTGGGTGGTTGGGTTATCTCCTTCAATGTCAAAAGCAGATGGAAGAAGCCCTCATATGAAATCGCCATCTGCCAGGGGCGTCCTTCCCATGGCGCAGAGGTCCACAATGTAGTGCCGTTGGCACCTGCTGATACCTTTCTTGGTGCCCACCAGGTGTTTTTAGAAAAATGGGCAGGGCCAGGTGGGGCTTTTGCCCAGCGAGGCTTCTGATTGGCTGTGCAGATTTTTAAAAAGTTGCTTTGGCAGCAGCTGCCACCACAGCACAAGGGTCTTCACTGTGTGACTGAAGGTAAGCTGCGGCAGCCATTTTATGGCTGGCTCTGCCTTCTGTGGTGGCCATTTTGTGGCTGCACCTACCATGCTGTTTCAGAATTCCCTCAGGCTCAAAAAGGTTGGGGACCCGTGCCTTGGAGTGCGAGTGAGCCATCCAGAGACAGTGGGTGACCTTTGTTAGAAGCCTCGGGCCACAGTAGGGAAGGCCCCGCATTTTATTTGTTTTATTTATTTATTAAATTTATGAATCGCCCCATCCCTACTCTCACAGGGCTCTGGGCAATGTACAATAGCATTAAAACAGTAACTAGATAAAATAATAGATCATATTAAATTACAGCTTAATAAACAGATGGCGAATAGTAATACTTAGAATTAGTTATTCCCATATTACAGGCTGCCGGCCGCTTCGCGGGCAGGGGGGAAGAGGTCAAAACAAGCACGGAAAACCGAGGAAGGTGCCAGCCGAGATAAAAATTGTCGCTGCCCTCAGCCAAAAGCCTCTGCCTCTCAAGCCCTGCAAAATTGCATAAGGACCTGCAAGGCCCTGATGGTGTTTGTCAGAGAGTTCCACAAGGCAGACAGAATGGCCTGAAAGCCCCACAGAGCAGATACCTTAAGGATATCCGGCTGTCCTCGACCAGGGCCTGGTCGAGGACAGCCGGATATCCTTAAGGTATCTGCTCCGCGGGGCTTTCGGGCCATTCTGTCTGCTCCCCAGACAGCCTCCTGCCCTGTTGGTCAAAGTCGTCCAGACCCTAAATTAACATGAGCCTTTATTTTTTCCCCTTGCACCTGCAGAGTTCGACAAATTTCTAGAAGAACGCGCCAAAGCCGCCGAAAGGATCCCCACCTTACCCTCGCTGCCGCCGGAGGAGCCCACGCCACTGCCGGTGAACCCCCCCAGCAAAAAGAAGCCGGAGCGCACGGAAGACGCCCTCTTCGCCCTGTGACGCTCCTCTCCCTCCTGGCTGTCCGTGGAAAGAACTACAGTCGGGGCTGCCTAGCTCTCCTCGTGATACCCGGCTAGCGACGAGGTCCCCCTGGCTGCCACCCCGGGCTCCATAGACAGCCCCCAGCGCCTCTCCGAAGCGATCCAGCCCAAATAAGCTAACTTTTAAAGAGTATTTAAGCCCCCCGTCTTGTCATGCCCATGGTCATCCTTCCACACTCGCTTCACCCCCTCTACCCCACCCCGGGTCATAATTGCTGAGAGTCATCCTTTTCAAAATGATGCATGAGCATTTCCCCCTCACTGCAGATGCAGAAGGAGTCCGGGAGGGGGCGGTCCCAATTTCCGTTTAAACTGACCTCTCCCTCTCCCACAGAGGCAGTCCCAAAGTGCGCACGTGGAGCATGTCCAATGCGGCTGACTGTCTAGCAGGGCCCGTTGCGCAACAATTGAGCTCTCACACTCAAACCACACCCCTGCTCCCTTTCCATATTTCCAATGCAAAGGGAATTCCTTTGCTCTCTTCTCCGGCCTCAGCTACTTCAGTTGCCTTTCCCGTCCTCGGTAGCACTTTGATCCTGCTCGGTTTTCTTTGAATGTTTACCTTGCTTTGCAGCCGCGATCGTCAGCGGTAGGAAGGATTGCGCCAACCGAGAAATGGGCAAAATCTCTCTCTTGGTGAGAAGAGAGTTTCCCCCCGAAAGGCTTTACCTTTTTCTCGGGGGGGACGTGAGTGGTCTTAACGTCGGTCTGGGCCCCCTCTGTGCTCGGACTTGTCAGGGCTGGGTTAGAATGCATTTCTCTGCAGCACTGGAGCGGCCTTCTTGCGGTTTCTTGGAAGTGGCAGGAAAGGAGGTCTTCTCTTGGTGGCATAGTACGCGATTAGTGGGTACTGTCACGATGACGTGGCCGTACATTTGTCACCCAGTTTGTACATTGCGTGTCTGGTATGGATGTGGCTCTACCCCTTGCTGCTGGTAACGTTTGCATGACGGAGTCGTACGCCGCATGCAGTTCCTGTGGGTGGGCACCGCCAAAAGCATTTTTACATAGGAGCTCCCCATGTCCCGTGAGATTTGATGCATCCAAACATGGCCGGTGTGGCTTGTGCAATCCGGCCACAGGAGATAAGGTAGCTGTAGACTGCATCTAAGTTCAGAAGGATGTGGAACCACGAGGCAGTTCTTGGCTTCATGTATGTGACGGTGAAAAAGATAGTTTCCTCTGATTCTGCGTCGTACAGCAGGTTCCACACAGTCAAGTCGCTAGATGCTCGCTTTCAACCATTGGTCTAGTGGAGGCATCTGCCGTGAACATCGATGTTCCATTTGTAGCTTAGCCACACGGCTGCTTTGCATGGTGTTGTCTTTCTTTCTTTGGCACACGTGAGATAGCATGGCGGCCCAACCCATCCATAATAACCCCCACGGGCCTCCAGAGGCCACATTAATTGTGGGTGGCCCCGCTCTAGCCAAGTGAAGGGCCCGGCGCCCCAGTTTTGCTTTGGAAAGAGAACTGTGTGACCTAGAAACGAGGAAAGCCGGTTTTGCCGGTTCCGTCCTGGTGGTCACGCGCCAGCAACATCGGAGCCCTCCAGCCGTGGGGTTGCTCAGAGATCCACCACTTGGAAGGAGGAAAGTGAGTGATAGATAGCGGTGACTTTGGGGGCGGGCGGGACGGATGACTATCTGTCTTGTCAGGGTTAGGTGGAAGATAAGCCTGCATGGTAGCCCCCTTTCTCCCAGCCAGGTGGACGATTTGCCTTGCACCTTTGAAGGTTGTTCTAGAGCAAGGTCAGTTCAACCAGGGAAGGTGTACCCAAGCACTAGATCTTCTCCACGCGGTCATTTCCAGAGTCTCTTTCTGGAAACATTCTTGAGCTGCTCTGGTGCTCCCCTTAGCCAATGACGTCACTACCCTTTTTTTAGTATATACACGCAGGACAGCCTGCCTGTCTTGAAATCAGAGCCACCACGGGTACATAGACTGCACCTGGTTTCTGATTTTGGACTGTTGGAAGACTCGAGTGAGGCCTTCAGAGGTGCTGCAGGGTGGTGGAGCAGAAGAAGCTGGGGATGGGGAGAACCGAAAGCTTGGTGTGTTACAATGTAAGGTGGAGGCTGCTTTGGACCGAAGCAAGAACAGGAGCCCCAAACCGGTGGCTTGTTAATGGCTCAGAGTTCTCGTTTGGTCGAGAGGGAATGTGGTTCGTTCAGGTTGGTTCACGGGGTGAAACAGCTGCTTTAAGTTTACCCAGGAAGCGTCAGACGTATGATCGTCTGCCTTGCCACAGGACAAGAACCAGAGGGGTCCAGTGAAGATTGATCTTGTATTCGCGGGGCAGGCCTGTTAGGGTTCGCATGGGGGTCTTGCCGAAATTTCGCACAGCGAATAAGGGACTCTGTGAAAAGTGTATCCACACACACACACACACAACCTCTTTCCCCAATATGACTTTCCTTGATATACCCACATCCGGAGCAACTACAAAAGTCCCAGACGCCAGACTTTCCGAAACACAGGACAGTTGCTGGCATCATATAGGGATATCCCCCCCTGCCCTTAACAGCTCCGGAGCCGATGAGAGGGGAAGGTTTGCTTTCCACTGGTCCAAGTTTGCTGCCACCAGCAAGTGTGAGAGCTTCCTGGACTGTCCCCGTTATCTCAGCGATGCCCCCAGTTTCTTTGCTGTCTTCAAGTAAGCCAGGCGCTGAACTGTCGATATACCGCTTCTCGTTACGTCTCGGTGGCTTGGAGTCCTTTGGTGCCCTCCTCCCTTCCCCATACCTGTATTTGCAGGCGCAAAAAAGGGGTGAACACTACGACAACTAGGGATCAAAAGGGAAAGTGTGCAGCTGTCAGCTAAAAACAATTCCTGGCAAAAGAGCTCGCGTCCCTTAGCACTTCTCTCTGTTAGAAATCACGAAATAATGTTAAGTTATCATCGGGAACCCCCGTCTTTAAACACTAACTGCTTTTAGGCTTAACGTATTTATTCGGGCCTCGTCCCGTCAGGAAATTCTCCTGCCTTGAGCTTCTTGAAATGAACGGGAGATACTGCCTGCTCGTCTCCGTTTCAATGGGGCACGAGCAGGGGGACGTCCTGCTATATCGGGCCTCAGTTGTTACCACTGTATCCCCCTACCCCTAAATTGTATTTTTAAAGGCCTTTTGTTAACAACTCTGTGTGCTAAGAATTTTTTTAAGAAAACATCCGATTTGGGGGCGCTGCCTTTTTTTGTCTAAAACATTTGCTATGTATAGAATAAGGATCTGTCTAGAACAAGTGCAATACCTAATCAGCTGTTACAAACAAATAACACTAATTAACTAGGAGAAAGTGAGATGCGTGCTATCTCCAACTGGGTAGGGTGTTTTTAGTTGCAGTTGTCGAGAAGCCTCTCTGCATCTATGGAAGGAAACCACCCCCCTCCCAATCCTGATATTTAGATCGAGTCAGGGGGCGCGGTGGCTTCTTTGCCCATTGCTGTAGAGCTGTGGGGGAGATGTCACCTTCTTTCCCGTTCCCCCTGGGTTGGAGGTGTTTATGTCCATATAATGCAGCTCACTTCTGCTGGGAAAACGGCAAGACCTGCTGTTTGCCGGAGCAGGGTGTGTCCGAGACCGCGGCTGCAGTTTGTTGCCACAATTACCCATGTAAAGGGGTGGTGGTACGCTGCTTGCATTGGTTCTGCCCTTTCTCGGATCCGGTGGCAAATTCGGACTGCTCTCACGCCAGTTTATGACCGGGCTTTTTCAGTAGGGGAGCTTGCTCACAAGGACGAGCGTGTCGGTTCCTTCATATCCCCTCCGGACGTCTCCCCTTAGCCTGGGAAACCACGCTTGGAACGTCTCCTGGGCGAGGGGGCGCATGTAGATGTTAAACAACATCGGGGACAGCACAGCTCCCTGGGGCACCCCACTTTTTTTAACAGCAGACGGGTGCAGGCCTAAAAATACTCACTCGGGTCCGAGTGCAAGTCGTGGTGAAAGCCGCCAAGAGGAAGATCCGTCCTTCCCTTTGTGTCTCTTGGTGACATCCGCCACAGGCATCCGGTTTCCGCACATTTGGAGTCGGACTATCTCATAGGGCCGCCGTCTTCCGTTTGCGACTGCTGCTCCGACCCAGCGAGAGGCGGCAAAGGCAAACATAGCTTCATCTGTTGCCTCCTCTCCCGCCACGGCAGCCAGATCTGAACTTAGCGGCCGGCCGGCTCCTGGTCAGCAGCAATACTTTTTTTTTTTTAAACGACGCGTCGTTCCCGCCCGCCAGCCAGAGTAGCCAATCAGTCCAGCTTTGGGGCTGTCTTCACATCCCGTTTAGCGTCCAGAAAGCTTCAGCGGTGGAAACCACGCCCGGATCTGCGATCCAAACCCTGGCCGTGGCTTTTTAAAAAAATAACCACCCAGAGTGTAGGTTGCGTAGGAATCCCCGTCTTTTTTCATATGATGTTTCAAAACCTTTGCCCCACCCCTTAAGGCATGTAGCGACTCAACCGATAACCATTCTAGATGAAATAATAGTAATAAGAAAAACTGTGTTTGTGGTCCCAGTTCTGGTACTACAACCACACATTCCGTTACCCGGCTGCTGTTACTGCATCCTTAGCAAACGCTTCAACCTGGTATATCCTATCCAGTAAGGGTTTTTTTTGTCTCAGAGTGAAAGTTCTTTTCAACCTTCCCCCTCTCCCCCCAAATACATCTACTAACTGTTACACCCCCTGGCCTGTACACCCTAACCTGATTTGTAGCATCTCTGTTTGTATATTTAAAGCTCTAGGCTTGTCTGGATTTTAAAAAATGGATAATATTTATTTACTGAAAACGTTCGTTTTTGTTTGTTTGTTTGGGTGAGAAGGTTGTGGGGGGGGAAGGGAATTTTTTTTAATGTAGAAAAAACCCCTCTGTAAAAAAGACAACAACCTTAAATTCCTTTAATTATGTTGACTTCTCCCCCCCCCCTTCCCCATCCGTGGTGATGTCTTGAATGTGGACAAAGCTCATGGGTGGTAATTTTTTTGGGTTTTTTGTTTTGCATTAAAGACATATGATTAATCCCCCATCACTTAACATTCTCTCTCTCTCTCTCTCTCTCTCTCTCTCTCTCTCACACACACACACACACACACACACACACACACTCACTAACTAGATATCTCTCTCTCGTCCCACAAATCACCCTTGTCTCTCTGTACATTTGGGTTCTTGCATGTGAAATAGTCCAATAAAAGAACATTAGTGCATACCGTACAGTGGCAATAGCCCTGTCTCTTGGTTGTGTGTGGTGTTTTGGATTCTTGGGGGGCAAGAACTGAGCTTGCAGGGTTTTAATGCCACATCCCTTGGAATCAGGCCTGGTCCAGCCCAGCCACTCAGTGCTTTATCAAGCATGCTAAATAGAACTGATAGAAGAAGAGGAGGAGGAGGGATTTATACCCCGCCCTTCACTACCCAAAGGAGTATCAGAACAGTTTACAATCTCTTTCTCTTCCCCTCCCCTCCCCACCACAGACACCCTGTAAGGTAGGTAAGTCTGAGAGAGCTCGCTTGAGAACTGCCCTTGAGTGAACAGCTCTGAAAGAACTTGTGACTGACCCAAGGTCACACCAACAGCTGCATGTGGAGGAGTGGGGAAATCAAACCCCACTCGCTCACAACTTTAATGCCAGTAGCTCACAAAGTAGAATCTTTGCTCACAAGACTCCACAGCTTAGAGGGAACATTGCGCTGTGAGGTAGGTGTGGCTCAGAGAGCTCTTTCGAGAACTGCCCTTGAGACAACAGCTCTGAGAGAACTTATGACTGACCCAAGGTCACACCAGCAGGTGCATGTGGAGGAGGAGCAGGGAATCAAACCCAGTCCTCCCAGATTAGAGTCTGCGCTCCTAACACCAAACTAGCTTTCGGTTTCTTGACTCCCATTCACAACCCACCTTCTTTCTCAGAGTGGTGTGCAGCATTCCTCCGTTTCACCTTCACAAAACCCGGTGAGGTAGATTAGGCTGAAAGGATGTGACTGGCCCCAGATTCCGTGGCTGCGTGGGGATTCAGACCTGGCTTTCCCACATCCTAGTCTGACAGCCAAACCACTACACCACACTGGGTTGTGGCTTGTTTTGTGTTCCTTTTTTAAAAAAACAGACTTTTACATTAAAACATAACTTACTGTCCTACTCCATTGGTTGCTGAAAGATGCTCAGGCTTCGGTTGATTTGTGGGGGGGAGATAAGAGCGTAAGAGGAGCCGTGTTGGATCAGGCCAGTGGCCCATCCAGTCCAACACTCTGTGTCACACAGTGGCCAAAAACCAGGGGCCATCAGGAGGTCCGCCGGTGGGGCCAGAACTCCAGAAACCCTCCCACTGTTGCCCCCCCAAGCACCAAGAAGACAGAGTATTACTGCCCCAGACATAAGAACGTAAGAAAAGCCATGTTGGATTAGGCCAATGGGCCATTCAGCCCCACGCTCTGTGCCACACGGGCCAAGACCCAGGTGCCATCAGGAGGTCCGCCGGTGGGGCCAGAACTCCAGACGCCCTCCCACTGTTGCCCCCCCAAGCACCAAGAAGACAGCATCACTGCCCCAGATATAAAAACAGAAGAGAAGCCCTGTTGGATCAGCCCAGTGGCCCATCCAGTCCAACACTCTCTGTCCCACAGTGGCCAAATACCATGGGCCATCAGGAGATCCACCAGCAGGGCCAGAACCCCAGGAGCCCTTCCACTGTGGCCCCCCCCCAAGTGCCAAGAAAATAGAGCATCACTGCCCCAGACATAAGAATATAAGAGAAGCCATGTTGGATCAGGCCAATGGCCCATCCAGTCCCACACTCCGTCACACAGTGGCCAAAACCCAGGGGCCATCTTCTATAATTATCTTCTATAATCGCTCACATGCAACGAATACCGTGCTCTGGTAAGTAGTAATTGATAAGGTGAATCTGGCCTGTTACAGCCGGCCAGATTAACCCGGGGTTACTCTGGCCGGGGGGTTAATCCGGCCTTTTACACCTGGTCTGTCCCGTCCTGGAAGTGGAGTTTGCCAACATTGGGGAAAGACCAGTCTTTATGTTTTCCCCAATGTCTGCACCCCTGTGCCATGAGTGGATGCCAGATGGGAAGTGTGAACAGTCGCTTCCGTCTCAGTTGTGGGATGGTTTTTCTCCCTTGATAGGAATGTACGCATAAGCGCATATGAGCATATTTGACACACACACCCCATTGCCAGCAAGGGCCGTGCTCCATGGTTGAGGCACCAGTAATGTGGATGCTCCAGTGCAGGACCGGCATGCAGGGGAGCTGCTTCAGGGTGTGCTGTCTGGTCACCCCTTCCCAAGACGATTGAAACCACTGCAAATAGAGGTGCTGCAAGATCATGCCAAACCTCCAGTGTGACTGCATCCTCTGTGTTCCCCATCAGCATTACTTCTGTCTTTTCAGGATTTAGTTTCAATTTGATCACTGTTAGCCATTTGACCACAGCAAACAGGCAACAATTCAATACCTTTACTGCATGACCAGGAGATTTGGATAACATGAACTTTATATCTGTCATGAACTTTATATCTTTGTGAACTTTGTCTGTACTATAACACAAACCACCTGGATCAATGTCAGGATTGGGCCTGACAATGCCTCATCAGAGCATAAGGGCACTATGGTGGAAGGTACCATGACAGACCCCGAGGGTCAGTTAGAGATGTGGCTACTGGACCAGAAGCCCACGTTGCCCAAAAGCAGGAGCTACCCCCAGAACCTGAAATTGCTGAGGGACCCATGAAGTAGAGTGCTAATTGTCAAGGACCCCATGGTCACCCCCAGGATCCCAAGGGCAGAGAAGACAGAAAGCCTGGACAAAAGCACAGCTAAAAAGGCAGAGTGCACAACTACCTAGTAAAAGGGAAAAAGGTAAAGGTTTCCCTTACTTGAAAGCCATTTGAATCCGACTCTAAGGTGCGTTGCTCATCTCCGTTTCCAAGCCGGAGACCTAGATCCACCATAAGGCTTTGCAGGATGCTGGACAAGGTCCAACTGTGAGGGCCTGCAGACTCCAGGCCACTGCTATAGCTACAGGCACTCAGTGCTATAAATCATCTCCGTTCAGCTGTGGCTGTTGTGGAATCAACAGCTTTGATAATGCTTTCCTTCCATTCTTAGGTGTGAACAATGACAATCTGAGCATTGGGGTTTGGAACATGCCTGTACCACAGAGCAGAGGAGAAAGGAGCCATTTGGAGCAAAGAGAGATTTACATTGGCACACTGCCATGGACCAGAAGGGAGGGACTGTGGCTCCGTGATAGAGAATCTGCTTGGCATGCAGAAAGTCCCAGATTCAGTCCCTTAAATCTCCACTTAAAAGAACCTGGGACTAGGTGATGTGAAAGACCTCTGCCTGAGACCCTGGAGAGCCACTGCCAGTTTGAGTAGACAGTACTGACTTTGATGGACCAAGGGTCTGATTCAATATAAGGCAGTTTCATGTGTTTCAAGTGCAGACTCCTCCTCATTAGGCAAGGAGGCTGAAGACTGTGACACCATCACAGAAAGAGGCACTTGATACACCTCCAGGAGCACCCTTTGATGTGAAAGATGAGCCTTAGAGGCTGTCAACCCTGTCAGCCTGAGATCCAGCCTTGCCTTCAAACTTGGACCCTGAATCCTCCACACCAGAGCCCACTGCAGCCCCTGAGGTTTCTCTCCAACAGGCCTCACAAGCCCAAGAACCACCCAAGCCTTGTTGGAGGACTTGCTGCCATAAGCAGTCATGCCACCTTTAAGAAATACCAGCTGGTTCCTGGAATGGTGGGATTTCATAAATCTCATTTCAGTAA